TGGAGAGGTCCAGAATTCGCAAGTTGGGAAAAGATGGACCTTCTTTGGTGCTATCCACGAAACCGTGGAACTTGTTGGACCTTAAGACAAGCACTTGAAGCTGTGGTAGAGATTCCAACCAATGAGGGAATGTATCATTTATGTTGTTGTTGCCAATGTCTAGAACCTCTAACTTGCTACAATTCACCAAAGACCTTGGTAATAGCCCGTCCATTTGATTTCCATGCAAATTGAGATTTTCTAATTCACAGCTCTCTGTAAACCAAAATGGTATATTTCCATCAAAGTTATTGCCCTGCAAATTCAGCACTGAGAGAGACTTAGGAAGACAATTTGGGATTTTCCCCCCTAAATTGTTATGAGAAAGGTCAAGAACTCTGAGATCATCCTTTTCCCATATCCATTTAGGAATATTGCCATGAATGTTACTCTTTGATAACAATAGGCTTTGCAGAGCATCTGAATGTCTTAAGAAATTGGGGAATTTACTCAAGTTACAAGAAGACAAGTCAAAATAAGTTAGTTTGGGTAATGTGAAGTTGGCATCGACATTGACTCTCAAAGAAAGATTATTTTGTGAAAGACGGATGGATTCCAGATTTTGAAGTGCCGAGAACATGTCAGCTACTACTAAATCACTGAGATGATTTGATGATAAATCAAGATAACTAAGATTTACTAAATTAGCAATTGAGTTAGGAATTGAACCCTGGAGTCTATTGTTTGACAAATCTAGTTGTATGAGTGATTTTTGCTGGAATTGATTTATTAGACCTTGAAATTGGTTATGATTGAGTTGCAAGTACTTTAAAAAAGGTATGGTGAAAAGCCAAGGTGGCAACGTGCCATTAAGTAAGTTATAAGATAAGTATAGAGAGCTTAGTTTGGAAAACCTACTTGCATGAAAAGGAATGGGACCAGAAAACTGATTATTGGAAAGGTCAAGAGAGGTAAGTTGTGTGAGATTTGCAAGTGATGATGGGATTTGTCCGCTAAGATTGTTATAATAGAGGTATAGGGAAGTAAGTTGGGATAAGTTCCCTATGGAAGCTGGAATGGAACCTTCCAAGTTGCAGATAAGATATAGAGACTGTAATGACTTTAGATCTCCTATAGACTTTGGCAATCGCCTTCCGCAATCCATGACATCTAATTCCAAATCTTGGAGAGGACTGCTCCAATTGGAACTTGGAAGATCAATAGTGAGGTTTCCCTCTCCACCTAAACCCAATGTCTTGAGATTTGGAAAGCGGAAAATACTGTTTGGAAAGTTTCCTCTTAACACACTGTCCAAAAGATCAAGAGTAGTCAAAGAAGAAGAGAGATTCATGAAGAAACGAGGATTAACAGATATCATGTTCACTCCACTAAGCACAAGTTCTCTCACCTCACTTAAGTTGTGAACAAGATTTCTGAAGGTAGTTGTTTCCAGGATCAATTTATGAGAAGAAGGATAGATAGCATTAGGATTAGGACCCAAAGTGTACAAATCAGAGAGATTGAGAGAAACTAACTTGGGGAGGTAAGCAATTTCTGCTGGAACTTGGCCTGAAAACCGAGAAGAAGAGATATCAAGATGCTTTAGTCTAGTAAACTGACTGATTTCTGGTGGAATCTTGGAAAGCCTAAAATCATTGAAGGCAAGATTGAGGCTCTGCAGGTTTTTGAGGAGAAAAAGAGTACTGTTGGAAGGAAAGGTACCAGAAAGGAAATTGCAGCTGAGATCAAGGACGATTACATGACCTGTGACATTATCACACCTAACCCCATCCCAGGAACAGCAGTCGATACCTTCCTTCCAAGACTCAGTCTTAGAATAATTTGCTTTAATATCATAAAAAAGCTCACATAAAGAAGGATTATAAACAGGTGAATTGATGGAAAAGGAAGTCTTGAATTGCAACAAAGCAGCAGCCTCCTCCTGAGAGCAGAGATGTGTTGTTGAGAAGGAAGAAGCATGTAAAGAGGAT